AATCATACTAACCATTACAGTGGGTTATTGTGAGAGAAACCGGATATCTCATGGCCATCATGCTGGTCAAGATTTCTCTGGCTATCTTCTTCTCCCGCATCGTCGTCAGGCGCAGTCACTTCATCATCATCTACGTGACCGTCGCTGCCAACATTGTGTCATCGATGTCTGCATTCTTCTACGTCATCTTCCGATGCGGACCCAACTTGGAGAAGTACGCAGTCAACGAGATCATCGGTCGCTGCCAATCGCGGCAGGTCGACTATTTCTTTGCCTATCAACAAGGTATGTGGCGCGAATGAATTGTTTACACACAAGCTTACGAAGTACTCCACAGCGACCTTTAGTACATTGACAGACGTCGTCTTCTTCTTATTACCCATCCCCATTCTATGGTACGCCAACATGGATCTGCGGCACAAATTCTCCGTCGGCTTTATCCTATCCCTCGCAGCTCTGTACGTCTCGACTAAAGCCACTCTCAAACCGCTCTACTAACATATCACAGTGGCTGCATCTGCTCCGGAATCCGCTTCCCTTACATAACCGGTCTAACAGAACTCGAAGACTTCTTCTGGGACGTGACCAACGTGTCCATATGGAGTACCGTCGAATGCGGCACATGCATCATCGTCGGCTGCATGGCAACCCTCCGCCCACTCATGAAAATGGGAATCTCAAGAGCACGCGACATGACCACCAGGGACGGAAGCAGGAGCGGCACAATGAAGAGCACGCGAGCATCTCCACGAACAACGAACCACTCCCTGTCCCAACTCAACTTGCATGCAACGCCGCAGAACAACCTCCTACTCGCGGAGCTGGGCATACAATACACCGGCATCGAAAAGAAGGCTTCTTCATCACCAAAACTGGAATCGATGTACGAAGCAAAGACTATAACGCGCCCAAACACCGCGGCAACACCCCTCCCGTCAGACATGGGCTACACGAAACGCAGCAGCGCTGACCCTATCCTCACTCGCACCTCGTCCGACGCAACAGACCTCCCTTTATGGAAGGCGCCGGAGGAGAAGAAACCACGCCAACCGTCGCGTCTCAGCCTCAGCCGCGCATTACTACACCGCAGCCGGCCCACGAGCGAAGATGTGAACTATGCTGGACCCTTGTCCGATCCCATTTCGCCGCCGCCGAGATATATGGACGCAGGGGATGCGGTTTGAGCATCTCGAAACCGAACGCGAGCTGAACATTGTACATATACACAGACACGACCGTAACGACGCTACGCCTTTCCTTTTTCATTCGTGGAGATCAAAACCAGTCGTTAGATGGACGACAAAGAAAATCAGTTTTATACCCCAATGTATTTTTAGCCAACCCAGAAGACGTCGGATTTAATTACTACGACTGTCAAGACAGTATTCTCAGCCATGTCCGGCAATGCCACTAGTTTTGTCAACGCTGACCTTTGTCGTGACTTGGCTGTGATGCATTTTTCCGTCAAGAAAGTATCCTCAATGTCCCTAGACTGCAAACTATGTAATGGATTGTACCATGGGCGGCCCGCCACCCGGGTTGTCAACGCTAACGCTCGCTGTGGGTTGGAAGTAGTGAATCCTGTACTACGGGTAAACACGGCGGAAGAAGGTTTTCCGTCGTACCAGTACCAGTTACAAGGAAAAGGGGATGAGACTATTGACATGGCATGGCATGCCTTGCAGCATGGTACGATGGCGTCGTGAAGTACGGGGTAATGGGGGGTCATTACCTACCGCCTCAAACTGAAGGCTCCGCATTCTATGGCAGTTCCAATCCGAACGCACATCAGAAAGGAGACATACAACACTAATCCACCACCACCACTCCACCCAAACACGTAGATGACTATATCCCTTTCAAGCACCGATAGACAATTTACCTCGTTTTTGTACAAAACATATGACCATGACTTTCGTTGCTTTTCACCATGATCACCAATGATCCCGCATCCTCATCACCTATCTCCCACCCATAAACTCAGGCTTAAACGCCTTAACACCCCCCGCCTTCATCAGCTCCCTCAACGCCATAGTAGCATACTGGCTACTCGCCAACTGTAACTTGATCACCACAGCAATCTTTTCCTCTCCCGCCTCTTCCTTCTCCTCTCCGTCCTCCATCTGCGCGTCTGCAATCTCTCCCTCCTTCCCATCCTCTTTACCCCCATCTTTCTTTCCAACATCTCTCTCGCGGCCCAGGCTTTGCAAGTCTGTTTGAACAAACTGCTCATCCACCTTCCTATAACTATGAACCTTGAACTCAAGCGGTTGAAGTGGCCGGGCTAGGAACTTCCTATACCCCCCACTCAAACTAACCTCCCTCCAACTCCTCCGCATATTATACGGATCCAACCCCCCACCCTTCTCACTACCCATGAATGTCTTGTAAAACTCTCCAATCTCATTAGTCGGATACTCGACATCGAACCCCGGTTGTGGGAGTACAACGTCCCAGATACTATACTTGCCACTCGCAGCTTCATCAGCAGTAAGCGGACGCGCGCGTTCGAAATCCGCGTCAGGAGCAAGGGAAGAGTCGTCGCCGGAGGGATCGATGATGGGTTCGCCGTCTTGGTCGTGGGTTGCTTTTGGTATTGAGGCTGTACTGCCTTGTTCTTTGTCGCGGTGTTCGTTTACGAGGACGAGGTCGCCTGCGACGACCTTATCGCCGTGGGTAGCCCAGCGTTTGCCTGCTACGCTGTTCCAGACGAGAGATTGATAGGCGTGTACGTACATTAGACGCAGCGTCCGAGGTATCGTCATGAGCGCGCCTTGCCAATCTGTCTTGCGGTCGTAGCGCCCTGATTTGCTGTTGCGTGACGAGAGGTGTTGGATTATGTTTCGCTCCGCGGTGAATTTCCTCGGGAGGAAATCGAGGGCTTCGGTGCCGCTCCCCTTTGTCTTCCAGATGTGCAGGGCGTGGGCGCGGTTGCGGTCGTCTTGCGAGACTAGGGTGGTTGACTCTGAAGGGTTGAGTGCGGCGGCGAGGGCCGTGTCGCTGTATGCGAGAAGGTCTTCCACCGCGCCTTTGAGGTCGTCTTGCAGCATCTTGCGGCCGATGGCGTCGGTGCTGGCGGCGAAGGAGCCGAAGCGTTGGAGACCGTAGTAGTTGATGAAGCCTTTTTGGGAGAAGTCGGTGATGGCTTTGCTGACTACATCATGGGCCAATTTACTTCGCTGAGCAAAGTCCAATCCTTCTTCGCTTTGGAAATGGCAGTCTCGGAGTGTGATGGTGAACTCGTTACCCATCAGGTCTCCTAGCTTTAGGTCGTTGTGGCGATACTCAAAGTCTCCTACGGCGGCATTGAACAGGATCTTGTTGAAGTTCTGGATGCGCTGGGCTAGTTGACGCTTGACACAGACTCTTTGGACGGTACACGCTCGTCTGTCTTTTGTGCCTGCGAAGCCGAAGCCTTTGGCGCCGCAGTTGAGCTTGCTTCCTAGGAACCCTACAACTTCCATTGTATCCTTGTTTTCCTTGTACAGGTTGAAGTGCAAGTATTCTCCACCAAGCTCCTCCCAATCTTGACCTCCTCGTCGGCCTCCCTGGTTCTCGCGATCCTTTGCGCCGCCCTTGCCCTTCTTCTTCTTGCGCTCCGCTGGTGGGGTGGCCTTGATGCGTATAGTCTGATTCTCCTCCATAGCACTCTCGAGTAGGTTGGGGAAGATCCGACGTAGACTCTGGTGAGCTTGGGTGCGCTTGTCCTTGTCGGTTATGGGCGATGATATGACGGCTTTAAAGTCTTTTGCCTTTCGCGATTCTTTTCTCCGTACTTGTCTGACGAGTTTTACGATCTCGTCGGTAGTCTGTTCGCCGAATATCGAGTGTAGGGTATTGCGATCTTCTTCCGGCAACTGTACGGTGTTAGCACCCGCGCAGGACATATGCGTAAAAGCCACGTACCTGTTCTTCAGGCTCTTCCTGAGCTGCTGCAGGTTTCCCGATGATCTGCTCTCCATCATTCTCCGACTCCTTCGGTGCATCCTCAGCCTTCGCTGGTTCCGGCACCGCAAGCGTAGTCTCACCAACAACTCCCGCATCCTGCATAACAGCATCGACCTTCTCCTCAGTCGCTGCCGTACTCTCAGGCTTCTTTTCACCCGCACCATTCGTCTTCTCCACGTCCTCTTTCCCAGCCTTCTTCTTATCCACCACCTCCGTGCTCTTCAAATGCAGCACCTTTCCATCCAACCCGATCTCATTGACCAAAAAATCCGTATACCTCTGCTTCAGCACACCCGTAAAGCCCGGATTATCCGGGCACACATACTCGGTGATACCGGCGCGTACTTCGCGCTCCAGATCCGTGTCAATGGTTGCTGGTGCTGAGGGAATCGGAGCTGTCTGCGGAGCTGATGTCGAGGTAGTGGAGAGCGAGGGAGCGGCATTGTCGTCAAGTCGCGCGCGTTTCGCCGGTCGCGTGGATTCGTCTGACGGTTCAGACATGTTTGCGCACGTGAGAGATGTGGTGGGGAGGTTGTGTGGGAAGGGTAGGTTTTGTAAAGAGGTGAGCTGCGAGATTCTGCGCGGGGAAGTTTTTCCCGAGGACGTGCGCGCGGGGAGGTGAGTTTTGGCGAGGGCCTCACATGTTAACATTAACACTATCTACATACTCTCACGTTGCCAGAACCTGTAATGAGATGGTTCAGACTACCAAAAAGACATCACAGACGAAATATCCAAGCATTGATAATATCACAAAATATTGATTCATCATCTATCTTCTCAACTGCACTCAAAAGAAAAGGTTCCGGCCCAAACTCCTCAATCCTGCCCAGGGGTATAAATAATGCTTCTCGACTTCATACAGCGTATCTTTCAAGCGAGTGTGACATTCCGCCTCTTACATGGGACAAAGACAGAACAACAAGAAAGGATATACATGTTCGTAAAAAAAAACGGGTCCCCAAAGGGAAAAGAAGTGAAGAAGTGTCTATGTCAATGAACATCCATCAAGGATATCCACGTAGTGTTGTCGTAGAGGAAAGATGAGGTATTTATGCCTGAGCAAAGATAGCAAGGGTAGCGCAGAAGTTGGAGCGGTTATCCTCGTCCTTGGCTAGACCCTGACCACCCATGGTGATCATGTTGACGGAAGCCTTGGTGCTCAGACCGAACCAGTTGACGTTTGTCGAGTTGGCAATCTCGTTCATGTCTTGCTGGCAGTTCTGGCCGACGACGCAGTCTTGGTCGTAGTTCTGGAAGAACGAGTAGGTACCCGCGCCGTAGCTCCAGATGCTGTCGCTGCCGTCGGTGACACGGACGGCCCAGGCGGCCTTGGCTTGGCTCATGTCTGGGTCGAAGAACTTGTCGTTCTTGGTGAAGGGAACGGCGGCGGTGGGGTTGGGCTGGTAGTAAGGCGTCTCGGTTTGGATAGCGCCGTAGAAAATGTCCTTTGCGCCGGAGAACTGGTATTGAGACATTTGAGAGTGCTCGGAGGCGGTGCCGTAGAGCCAGACAGGGCCTTGGGATTCGACGAGCATGCCGCGGCCGTTGTAGATGTCGATCTGGGAGTGGTCGTCTTGGTCGAGCTCGTGGTCGGCGGTCCAGAGCCACACGTTCTCGAAGTAGCCGTTGGAGTTCTTGGTGATATGGAGTTGCATGAAGGAGCCGATGCACTCTGGGTTGGGCTCGTGGGTCGCATCGGGGTTCTTCTTGCAGTTCGAGGACTGGAGCTTGGTCCCGGCGTAGCCACCGACACGGAAGTGGACGTCCCAAAGACCGGCTGCGCCGTTCTCGGCGTTGATATTCCACTCCATCAAGATACCACCTGGAGCAGGGCCCTGAGTACCGATGATGAGGTCAGAGGCCTCGAAAGAACCCTTGTCGCCGCTCTTAGCACCGATCTGGAAACCAGGCTTGGGGTCGTCCATGTTGGAAAAGAACTCGCCGGTGATGAAGAAAGTGCTGTAGACTTCACCGACCATCTTGACGTTCTTCTCAGCGGGGACGACGACAGTCTTGGTAATGAGGTAGGCACCGTGGTCGACGTGGAGAACCTCGCCTTCCTGGAGACCATCGATAGCAGCCTGGATAGCAGCAGTGTCATCGGTAGCACCGTCACCCTTGGCACCCTTGGACTTAAGGCTGACGAACTTGGAGACGTCGACGTTCTCGTACTGGGGCTTGCTGCGCTCGAACCAGCCGTTGAGACCCTGGAGGCTCTGGGGCTTCACAGGTGCGCCATTGACATCACCCTGAACACGGCCAAGTTGTGCGCCAGCAGCAAGAGCGTTACCCTGAGCCCATGTCTCGACCTTCTTGCCACCCGCAAGGATAGTGTTACCCGTAGCACCAATGACAGCCTTCTCGGAACCGGTGAAGTCGCAGTTGTCAAGGATGAGAGTGCCGCCAGTGGTGGGAATGCTGTTCTCGGTGAAAGACGAGTTGATACCGATGGGAGTGTTCGTGAACTTGCTGTCGAGCAGAAGAACGGAGCCGACAGTCTGGTTGGCGGGGCTGTTGGCCATGTCAAGACCAACCTGGCAGTTGTTGATGAAGATGCTCTTGTATGTGAAGACCCAGTTCCAGTTCTGGAAGATGGCGGTACCGCAGTCATTGAAGGTCATGTTGCGGATGGTGAATTGCTGTGAGCCCATGAAGGCGCCAATGGCGCCACCGTTGAAGGTCAGGTCGGTCATGAAACCACCGGAGCCGTTGTCCTGGAAGATGCCCTTCTGGTCCTTGCCAGCGTCACCCTTGGCCATCTCGAAAACGATGTTCTGGAGACTGGTAGCTTGGGAGACCTGCCAGTGGATACCAGCGGCAGCCTTGGTAGCTGAGATGTCGATGACGAAGTTGCGGACCTGGCGGTAGAAGTTGTTCTGGTTGGTGTACCAGTTGGCGCCGTCGCCGCCTGGGATGTAGGGATCGGCATCGATCAAACCCATTCCCTCGAAGTCCGCGGTGGCTTTGAGAACAGGCATGTTCAATGGGTCACCGACGAACTGGGTGTAGTAGTATTGAATGATGGGCTTGCTGATCATGTAGGTACCGGCGGGGAAGTAGATGAGTGCCGGTGTGGTGGTGGTGGAGTCGCAGCCCTCGCCGCAACGCTCGCCGTCGGCAATGATCTTGTTGATGATTTCGGTATCGTCAGTGGATCCGTCACCCTTGGCTCCAAGCTCCTTGACATTGCGGAAGACCTTGTAGGACTCTGGGTTGGGGTTGAAGGGAGCCTGGCCCTGGCGCTTGATGGTCTCGAGCCAGTAGCCGGAAGCACCACCTGGTGCTGCCGGTGCCGGTGCTGCTGATGGGGCTGGGACTGGTGCGTATGAAGGAGCAGGTGCTTGCGCAACAGGCACAGCAGTGGAAGGAGTGGCGGAAAGGAGGACGCGCAGCGTCAGAAGAAGCGCTCCAGCGCTAAAGGCAACCATGATGGCAGTGCGTTTGTTGAAGTTCGGAGTTGCTAGATGAAGAAGTTTCGACTTGAAAGACTGGAAGTACCGTTGTCAGTTGGCCGGCAAAAGACGTTGATAGTGTTGTTGGATCGTTGAGTAGAAAGATTGCAAGTTTGCAGAAGTGGTGGTAAGGTTGGCTAGCAACGAAGGAAGAAGAATGTAGTAATGTTGTTGTGAGAAGATGACTCTACACAATAGAAATGAATGACAGAGAACAATAAGAACTGACGGCACACAATGAGTGCTGGTAGCTGACAATCGCCTGCGTGAAGGGAAAAAGTGAATGGGGGCGCCGCCGCATAGTATATGTACAGCAGTTCATTCAGGAAGGGGACTTACAATAGGATCGGGGCGCCAATCAACGTTGTCGAAACGCCTTGTTTCAAGTTTCGGGTAGCCGGGGTGTGATGTTCGCTGTGCTGTGCTCGATTCATGTTCCCCGGCATTCAGTAGGCATTTTATATCCTCGTCGTCGCTGTGATACCCACGCTCTTGTGCCATCTCTTCATCGTGGGCGTTCATCCTCCCCGATTCACAAAGCAGTCCTCCATCCTCCCTTGCCTCCTGACGACCGCTTGCGGCCATGTTTTGAAGCCGCATTCCACGCCCGCAGACAAGTGCCGGCTCGTGGTTGCGTGCCTGTGACCCTGCCGGCGTCGCGTGCGTCCAAAATTACCTAGGGTCTCCACTAGCCAGGCCCACAAGACTGTACCCGTTGTATCCCTTTCTCCGCGTGAAACAAGCGGGAGACGATGGCCAGTGAGTGGATGGGGAGGGTAGAAGGCGGCGAGGCGAGCGTTTGTTCCTGAAGGGAAATCAGGGATGTGGTTGGTAGCGCCACAACCGATGCCCGGATGTGAGACGGCGCTGAAACGCCAGGCCATCGACAGGCCCTCGCTCGCCCGCCGCGCAGATAAAGCATTTGCCAGCGCGTCAACGCCACGCGCGACTTTCTCTGCAATTCGACGCGACGGCCCGGCAGGAGATCGTGGATACACTGCGATGCGCCGGGCTCCATCCAAGAGGCGCTTGAGAGTCATGCCAAAGTGTGGTGGTCTGCATTGTACTCGACCACGACGTCGCTGTTCGCCTCGGCACGCGCATCATAGACATGTTGGCCATGTGCCTCCACATGCCGATAACACACAGACATATAGTCAAATAGTGCCATTCTCGAGCGTTGTGCGCAACATAGCACGAGTCTTGCGGACAAAAAAGCTCGAACCGAACACCACCCCGATCGCTATCCTGGACGTGACGAGTTCCGAAAGTTTCTTTTGCACCAGTGCAAGACATCAACCATGGCGGCACTACGCTATGCTGTGCCCGATGACTGCCTGAGGGTGCATACCCAACGGTCACTGCGTTTCGCGCCGCCACTCGACACCGGGTATAATGCTCTTCATTTCGTTCAGGGTGTCGCTGTGGGGCATGATGGTGTTTCGACGAAACCGCGTCCGTCTATCCAGTGCGATCTTACAAGCATCAATCCATTTATTTCATCGTAGTAATTAGGTATGCACCAATGGAGTAGACAGATAGCGCTCGCGAGACATCCACCACCTCCCCTCCGCCTCCCCCACCCACCCTGGACGTTTCGACGAAACCCCATCCGTCCATCTAGAGCAAGCCCGCGGCTGGCCTCGCAGATCCCTCATGCTTAACGCAACCTCTATTACTGCATTTCGACGAATAGCATTGTGCAAGACCAGAATCACATGACATAGTCCCTACAGTCGTGAAAGTTTCTGTGTGATCTAGATTGAGGCTGATAGGATGGCGATTCACCTCAGAGCAGCGGTCTTCCGTCCCATTCGCCTTTCCTTCCCTTCACTCAATCACCACAGACCCTTCGCGTCTTCTTCTTGAGCAGCCTCCCTCTGAGTTGCCTGTCCTCCATTGGCCTCTTCCTTTAACATGCGGTTAATGACTGTGGCGAGTCTTTCAATGCCCTCGGCAAGCATGTCTTCCTCTTCCCACTAGCAATGGATTAGTATCGGTTCGGAGACCCAATCGAGACGTATGTACTGACCGCAAAACAAACCCTGATGTCGTTGCTGAATGACGTGCCTTCATGGCCGGTGTCGCCGGGTACCTGCGTCTGTCAGTTGGGCGTACATGGCTGCGGAGCAGCATACTCACTTCGAACATTTCGCCCTACACAAGTGTCGTGGTTAGCTTTACCCATGATGTGGACTCGGGACGTGGACATGATCGTAATCGTGGCTTGTACTCACCTGTGCGACGGCTAGGTTCTCTTCTTCCTTTGCGCGCTGTGCTACCACTGCGCCTTTTAGCGGCGATGGCAACGTCAGCCAGATGAAGTAGCCGCCGACGACCTCGCGATCGGTTTGGGGGATGCCGACTCCCAGTGGGATGAGGTGTTTGTTGATGGCTTCCACCATTCGGCGGTACCGGTTACCGTAGGTTGGCTGGAGTCTGTCGTACACGTAGCGTTGGAGCTCTCCTGTTTCCAGTGTCTCGGCCACAAAGCAGGCTGTCAGCTGGCTGGGTGCTCCGCCCGAACGGCTGGATCCTCTGGAACACGTTAGCTGTCATGCCGGATGGAGCGAGACATGGCCGTGGTATCGGGTTTCCAAATCGATCTGAGCGTAATAGTTTCGATCTCGGGTATCTCAGACGCGGCATGAGTGATAGCGCATGGCGACAGAGACAGATGACGAGATCTTCAGAAAACATGCTTACGTTTGCGAAACACCATACGCCATCTTGGGCGTTCCTTCACACCATCCCGTCCGCAAGCCAGGGCCGAAGATCTTGGAAAACGATCCATTCGAGACTGCATTGCCGAAGCCATCTGCGCCTTGTCTTTCGGCGCCGCCGTCCAGGTATCTGTCGATGTCGACAATCCGGGGCAAACCGGCTTTCTCAATGGACAGCGTACTAGGACTGAGACTTGACGGCCATTGCAGGAAGTCATATACGTCGTCTGTAATGATAAGGGCATCGTACTCTCGCGCCAAACGTACCAACTCCTCTCTACGCTTTAGACTCATAGTCTTGGAGCTAGGATTTGAGAAGCCTGGAACCGCGTAGATGACATGTTTGTAGATCTTATTTGAAGGCCTTGGAGGTTTGAATTGCTGGCAATGTTAGTAGCCATACGGCGGTGAATACCCCGACATGCAGTCGCAGTAGATTTTCATGAGACACGATCATGGTAGGCTTAAGGTCCCAGACCGTCCAAGTATTGACAGCGACTCACCGGCTCATTATTACTCTCAGATCTCGCCTTCTCTTCACTCAACTTAATCTGACTCCTCAGATACGCGATATCAATCCCCTCCTCGTCCTCAGGCACGGCCCTCAGCTTTTTGTGGAACCCAGCATCCTCGAATATACGGAAAGCAAGCATATACGCCGGAGCAACGATCCACACATTCCGCGTATACACCGGATCTGTAAAGTCCTGAAGCAGGCAAGCTAGATTCTGGGATGCCCCACCAGAGATGCATATGCGGTCTTCGGATACCGGGTCCGCGGGCTTATAGAACGTCGTGAGCCATTGCGCGATGTTGTTCTTCAGCCGCGGGTCACCCGAATCGGGTCCATAGCACATGGCCGGGTACGCAATGGGCTTCTTCTGGAGGACATTGTGGGCTGCTTTGTCGAGCAGTTGCGTTGGAAGTAAAGACACGTTTGGCCATCTGGTGCTGTTAGCGATTACTCTATTGGCCGCGTCATGTCCCAAAAGGGTAGCGGGTTTGCATGAAAGGCAGGGGCACGTGCCCTCTCAGCAAATTGATCAGCTTCTTGGAGCTAGTCTTGGAGCCGACGACGTCCGGTAGGGCGAACGTCTTGAGTATCTGGTCCGCGATAGTTTGGCCGCCGCCCATATTGGATTCTGTATTGGATGCTGATGAAGCCGTGGCGGCGTCGGAACACGGCTGCGTACCGAAGTGGCTGGTGCGCAGTTATGGGGCGGAGTGGACTCAGGCCAGCAGTAATAACGTGAGCGTGCCGCGATTATATCAGATGCGAAGTTCGGAAATGGGTCTGTTGGCAGCAATTGAATGAAGTGTGCATGCGTTTTGTCATTGCTATGCTCATACCAACGTAGGGCGCGCCTCCAGCACGTATGACAGCCATGAGCCTCGGGTGGACGCTATCGATTAGGGATGGTACGTCATCCGCTCGCTAAAGACCTCATCGATGCGGCCGGCGCTGTCGATAGTTCTACCGATGCTGCAAATGGTCACGAAAACACGACATGTCAGCTGCAGCTGAATAAATTCACTCGTGGTAGTATCGCACAGTATTCATCGACCGTTACACATTTGAAAGCCGGGCAACTCGAAACAGTCGTCTCTGGCACGACACGGCTGCGCATGGGTCCGCTTCCAGCTTCCGTGGATGAGGTGGGCCTTGCCCGCAGCATGCCCGCAGCATGAGGCGCAGGTGCTGCAGGTCACAGCCAGCGCTGGCAAAGGGTCTTTTGGACGTCAAAGAGGCCGCTGAGTGGCCGGCCGGCCATACCAAGGTGTAAATGCACCCCAAGGCTGAAGAGCAAGGCCAATGACAGATGTAGAGAATGACCCACGTTGTGGCCACCCGACCTTTGACGTTACTCGTGCACTAGCATGGTTACGACACTGCGGATCTGCGACAGCTCAAATATAGATCACCTAAACACCTAGTCCCTTCACTAAGCTTTTCAGTCCCTTTCGACATATACTAACTGACCGGTGCCCGGGGCCCTGCATGTGTGGTGCTCGTGTTTGCTGTTGTGTCAAACCCATGTTGCGGCGCGCATAGTATATTTTCCTACGCTTCACGATACCCCAACTCTTGCTCCTCCCGCGCCGCATAGACAACTACTAGATCGCCTCGCCATGCTGGGAGACAAGAAGAAGTCTGCTCGTCGGCTGTCGAGTTTGTTCGGATCGTCTGGGTCGTCCGAGCCGTCAGGGTCTACGAACAATGCGAAGTTGAGCCCAACCCCTGCGTCATCAGAGTCCAGCAGCCGCTTGACCAAAGTGCGCAACCGCCTCTCTTCAGCGACACACCTCACACCCGAATATCCTCCGCCCGCCGCTCAGTCACCACGCGCGGTATCTCTCTCCAACCCCACCATCCAGCCGGTCGTGCCTGCCGATCTTGAGCCCCTCGAGCCACCGCCGCCGCTGGAGGTGCCGTCGCGCGCATCGTCACCAGCGAGTAGCCGACCCGGAACGCCGAGCTTAGACCCATCCGAAGGGAAACTGAAGAAGCTGCGCAGGAAGAGCGGTCTGTTTGGCGGCCCACCCGGCGGCATTGAGGGAGTAGACGCTGCGTCTGGCGCACCACAAGGCAATGCGAGTCCGCTGGCATGGATCGTCGGACACAAGGGCAAGGTGCCATACAACCTGACGTTCCTGCTGAACGGCGAAAAGGTAGTCTGCGGCTGCTCTCAGAATACCATACCAAGGCTGACAAGATGAAAGGTCCCTGAACTCTGGGACGACGCTGGAGACACGTTTGTCTACCTCTTCCCCCGCACCTCCGACAAGGGCCCTTCCTTCCGCATCGACTCCTCCGTATACGCAGCATCGCACCTGCTCACCCGCCTCGTCCACGGCAGCCTCTACAGCGACGCAAACGTGCCCCCGCTCGACCTGGCCGACCGCACATCGCGACGTGTGTCACGAGAGCCATTTGGAGAACAGTCGCGGACTGCATCGCCTGACCAGAGCCAGATAGGAAGCTCGGATGAGTCCATATCCAAGGGGTCCAGAGCGCTGAGCGACGCCCTGGAGGACGAGTACACGGAGAAGCATCTGTACATGCCTATTTCGCTGAGCTCCGACTCTGCCATCACCCCTCACGAGCCCCGGCTCGACGCAAACGATACCGACACTTTGGTCACCTACCGCAACTTCTTCGCCTTCCTCATTGGGCAGTCGCTGGTCGCTACCGAGCGTCACTCAGACATCTTCGACATCTTCCTGCGGATTGGAGACATACTGTCGCACTATGCCTTCTCCAACGTCGACGGTTCCACCTTTGGCGAGGTTGCTGCGTCGAGCTTTGACTGCTACGTTGACGAGTTGACCCTCGCAGACGTCCGCCACAGCCGCGAGAAGACCATAGAAGCCATTGTGCTAGGAGAGAAGTTGCGCTCGATGGCACTATACACCGAGGGTTTCGTCCACGCTGCCGGAAAGTACAACAGCGTCAAAGAACTCGACTCGCCTAAATTTGGCATGATCAGCCCAAAGAGTTCTACGCGACTTGCCCGAGCTGCTATGGATCTGGAAAACCGCGAGCAAACCATCAATCACAAGCTCAAGGACTTTGAGTTTCCGCATATCTTCTCTGGCATTATGAACAGCGCAATGGCAAGCGAGGGCAAGGTCATCAGCTTCAAGAAGTGGAGGGCTGCCTTTATGACTATCAAGTCTTTCGTCATGGACTACTACAGGCACAAATACGGTTCATGGCTACCAAAGGCCAAGTCAAAGAAGAACAACCTAACCACAAGTGGTCTTAACCGACTGGTGTTACTAGAGATCTATCGCGACATGGCTAGTTTGTATGATCTCCTTGTGGATAGGAAGAACTTGACAAACCGCACTGCAGACGGCTTTATCGCAGAAGACGAAGGAACTGACATCGAATCCGTTGTTGCGCGTGCGCTGAGGAAGGTTCTGAGCGAATACGACCGCAGCACACCACCAGTCGCGCCACCGATTCCTTTCGATCTACCACTCTATCCCATCTCACAGAATGCGAAGACGGGCGACGCGAAAAAGGACGCAAAAGCGCGCGGAAAGAAGCTGCACAAAGACGAAGTCGCCAAGCTACTGAAGCAGTCGCACAATGCCGATGCCGAGCAACAAACACCCTTCCTAGAAGCCTTCCGCCAATTCGAATTCAAGCAAGCCACCGGATCCAACATGGACGACATGTGGGATATGCGATCAGGACAGTGGCTCTTCCTATACGCCGTAATCCAATCCCTACCCATGTTAGTCGTCGACGCACCCGGCGTGCGCTTCACCGAAGGCGTAGAATACTTCCTCTGCGAGGTCCCACGCAGCGGCGTCCCCTGGGCCCGGGAAGACACAACCCGCTCGCGAACCTGGTTCGGAGTCGCAGGCGGCGCGCAAGTCGTGTCCTTACCCACCGACGTAGTCGAGCACGGCGTCGAAGGCACATTCCGCCGCTCGCACTGCTGGAAGAAGGCTCAGCAGTGGGCTGCAGACGATACTTTACTCAACGCCGCGATGCAGGAACTCAATGCGAACGCGACTCCGTTACCGCCGCCGCCTGGTCTTCTTGATCCTGGTGCGGCTGCTCGAGCGCGGAGTCAAAGCCCGGATCGAAGGCGGGAAAGCGTTATGAATCTGGGGTTGGAGGCTTTGCCGCTGCCGCCTGGTGTTGCGCCGCCGATGCCAATGGGCAGCCCGAGTTTGAGGCCCGCGAGCAATCACGATCCTAACAAGACTTTCGATGATATATTAGGAACGTCGGCGTCGGACAACGGGAAGAAGAACAAGAAGAAGAAATGAGGTATCGACAATGAGGGATGGGAAATGGGGTGGATGGGGCTGGATTTGATGCATAAAAGCGCTTGTTTTCAGCATTGGCCGGTTTCTTGTCATGATTTACAGCGTTCTTGCATGGACGCGCGCGGCTGTTAAATAATGTAGAATGCGCGAAATGTAGAGGCTGGATGTAGAGCCTGATGTCTAGTACCTAGAGATATCCATGGATGAAATGAACCTATCGCGCTTATCGCTAGTTCCCGCTTCGCATCATCGCCGATATCGTCGCATGGGTGGGTGGGGGAGGCGGAGGGGAGGCGGAGGGGAGGTGGTGGAGGTCAACTCTGTGAAGTTCGTGGAAGTTATGTAGGCGTTGTTCAAAGGCTGATATGTAGACATGGTGATGAGAATTGTACTTATCGCAGCTATCACGCTTGTTGCTAGTTCCCGCTTCCGATATCGTCGCGCCCTACACATTTACCCACACGAACACTTATCCTCGCAAAGTCGCGGGCTTTGAAGCTTCACTGCTTTCACCCGCGCTCTTTTATATTCGTCAACATGACGTCCTCGCTACCCGGCAACCGTGACCTGCCAGTCTCGCAGTTCAACCTAGGGACGTACTGGGGTCGCGTGCAGCACTCAGCAAACATATCAGATCCGAGGTGAGACACTGCGCGCGGAAGGATGATGTTTCTTTGGGGATACTGGGTGTGGTGAGTACCACGACCTTGAGCTTTTCCATTGCTTATTCATGTCTCTATACTCACTCTATGATCATTGTTAACCAACGCGCAACAGAACCCTCCTCACCTCGTCGGCCGGCCTCGAAAATGCAAAGAAACTCGTTACCGCATACAAGACGGGCAAGATACCAGAGATGACGCCCGAGCTGTGGAATGCGAAGAAGATAATCGACTCTACCATACACCCAGGTACTACAACCGGCGCGGTCGCATGATGAGGGGAGACGCTGACAGAGTGAAGACACGGGCCAGCCAGTCTTTCTGCCTTTCCGCATGTCGTCTTTTGTCCTGACAAACTTGGTTGTCACGGCTGGTATGCTTACGCCGGGTCTTGGGGTACGGAAAGCGTCTACATTGGGATAATGCTACAATATACTAAGAGTGTACAGACAGCGGGCACACTAGGATGGCAAGTCACGAACCAGTCGGTCAACGTCGGAATCAACTTCTCCAACGCGAACAAGTCGATCCCGCTCTCCACCTCGACAATCGTCCAATCGTACCTCCTCGCCGTCAGCGCATCATGCGGTGTCGCTCTCGGTCTCAATGCGCTGGTACCCCGCCTCAAGAGCCTGTCGCCTAATGCTAAAGTCATCGCCGGTCGATTGGTGCCCTTCGCAGCTGTTGCAACAGCTGGTGCGCTCAACGTGTTCCTCATGCGCGGTGAGGAGATCAGGCAAGGCATCGACGTGTACCCCGCGCTATCGGAAGCTGAACGAAAAAGGGTCGACACGGGAGAGATGGAGGTCAAGCCACTGGGCAAGAGCAAGAAGGCAGCTACACTTGCTGTGGGAGAGACGGCGCTGAGTCGCGTGCTCAATGCGACACCTATCATGGTGCTGCCGCCTCTCCTGCTTGTGAAGCTGCAGAAGACAGAGTGGCTTAAGCAGAGGCCTAGGATGGTGACGCCGGTGAATCTGGGTGAGTCAATACGAAAGGTGTTTGTGGGATGATGGCTAATGCGCAATCAGGACTCATTTTCACCACATCCATTTTCGCGCTGCCACTTGCGCTCGCTGCGTTCCCACAACGCCAGGCTGTCAGTGCGCAGTCGCTCGAACCCGAGTTTCATCAGCGCGGTGGCAAGGATGGCATGGTGGAGTTTAACCGTGGGATATGATGGACCGGTAGTATGGGAAGAGAACACGGTGGCTGTATATCTGAACAGCAGGGACAGAATTATTGTGTGAAATGCTTCAGGCGTATATGCCACGCTGCAGGCATCAGACGCAGTCGAACATTGCTGCAAGCAGGCGGAACACATGGTCGCGCTGCTGCATTGCGGCGAAGACGGTTTTCCTGACGCTGTGATTGGCCAGATTGCTCAAAGGATCTCGAAGGGCATACAGAGGACTCGACACGATTACTAGGTAAGACCAAATGTCCTCAATCCAAAAGAAGTGTTAGGCAGCAGTGAATTAAGCTTTTCATCAAACGACCGTCTCTACATGTGACGTTGCGTTGATGCTATAACGTCAAAGTGTCCTTTGGAGAAAGACCAGGTGTCAAATAAGTCCGGGACAGGGTAGCTCGATCCAAGTACATTACCACGAAACCGCCCTCGCATTTCAACACTCAAAGGACCACGGTTTCGACCGACAACCTATTCACCGCTTTTTCTCTGGGATAGATTCCCACTCGTTCTCTTCTCTTCTATCGAGGTTCTCTATTAGAACAAATAACCTCCCACACTTCTTCCCCGCGGCGAAGCACGCACATCCCACCACAACCTCTCCACGCCTGCCGTTAACGACACCTTTCACTTTCCGCACCACACAACACATCATGGCGCCACCCGGACGCCGGAGAGGCAACCTCTCACCGGGAGCCATGCTCCTCGGTCTCTTCCTCCTCTTCTCGACGACCGCCTCCGCCGCCTCAGCCGTCATCGGCGTCGACCTAGGCACCGAATACATCAAAGCCGCGCTCGTAAAGCCCGGTGTTCCCCTCGAAATTGTCCTGACCAAAGACTCGAAACGGAAAGAGACGTCAGCCGTCGCTTTCAAGCCTTCCAGGGGCGGTGCTCTGCCTGCGGGCTCCTTCCCCGAGCGCTTCTACGGCGGCGATGCGATTGCGCTCCAGGGACGCTTCCCGGGCGATGTATACCCGAATCTGAAACACCTTCTAGGTGTATCGAGTGAGAGCGATATCGTGGGCACGTACAAGGAGAGATACCCTGCGTTGGAGGTTACAGGGACGGACAAGCGCAACACGGTTAGCTTTGTGAGCAGCGTCTTCGCTGAGGACAAATCATACACGGTCGAGGAGCTACTGGCTATGGAATTGAAGAACGTCAGGGAGAATGCAAAGGCGATGGCGGGCAAGGGCTACGATATCCAGGACGTTGTCTTTACGGTTCCGGCTTTCTACACGGTCGACGAGAGGCGCGCACTTGAGGTTGCTGCTCGTCTGGCTGGTCTCAAGGTGCTCAGCGTTGTGTCAGATGGTCTGGCTGTTGGTCTCAACTATGCTACTGGCAGGACTTTCCCCGACGTTACCAAAGACGGCAAGCCGGAGACGAACCTCGTGTTTGACATGGGCGCTGGATCTTTGTCGGCTACTGTTCTCAAGTTCCAGGGCAGGTCTGTCAAGGACGTTGGCAGGCGCAACAAGACTATCCAAGAAGTTCAGGTCATGGGCGCTGGATGGGACCGCACGCTTGGAGGTGATGCGATGAACTCGCTCATCGTCGACGACATGGTGGCTACCTTTGTTGAGCTTCCAGCTGCAAAGAGCGCTTCTTTCACCGCCGACAAGGTCAAGGGCCATGGACGTACCGCTGCGAAGCTCTTCAAGGAGGCTGAGAGGGTTCGCCAGATGCTCAGTGCTAACAAGGAAACTAACTCTTTCTTCGAGAGCTTCTACGAGGATGTCGATTTCAAGTATAAGCTCTCTCGCACCAAGTTTGAGGAGCTTACCGCCGACTACGCCAAACGTATCGATGGCCCGATCAACCAGGCTCTTGCAGCCGCTGGCCTTACATTCGCTGATATCGACTCTGTCATCGTCCACGGTGGTGCAAGCCGCACACCCTTCGTCCAGGCCCGTCTCGAAGCAGTCGCAGGCAAGAGCAAGATCAGGGCGAATGTCAACGCCGACGAGGCCGCTGTATTCGGCGCTGCTTTCAAGGCCGCTGGCCTCAGCCCGTCTTTCCGCGTTAAGGAGATCCGCGACTCGGACACCCAGGGCTACAACCACGGCTACCAGTACATGCTCAACCTTAAGGAGCGCGACCAGAAGATCTTCACCCCCAACACCAAGCTTGGCGCGACCAAGGACCTGCCTTTCAACTTCATGGGCGAGTTCGAATTCACCATGTACCAGGCTGTTCCTAGCGCTAACGGCGAGGTGTCCAAGGAGCCTACTCTTCACTTCCAGAGCGGTAACTTGACCAAGGTTGTTACTCACATGATCAACGAGAACAAGTGCGAGCGCGACAGCTTCAACAACTATGTTCAGGTTAGGCTCAGCCCTGTTACTGGTACTCCCGAGGTTTTGTCTGCATGGGTTACCTGCGAAACTGAGAGTGAGGAGGTCAAAGGCGGCATTGTCGATGGTGTCAAGAACTTGTTTGGTATGGGTGGCAAGAAGGATCAGGAGCCGTTGAAGGAGGGCGAGAGCTCTTCTTCTTCATCTGCCTCGTCCTCCAAGTCCTCCAAGTCATCGTCGTCTTCGTCTTCCGCAGGTGCTGAGAGCACTGATGCTGCGAAGGCTGGAGAAAAGAAGATTAAGACTGTTAGGTCTGCGATCACATATGATGTTGAGCAGTTGGGTTACAAGAAATTCCCTCGCAAGGAACTGAAGAGGATGCAGGACAGGTGAGTTTTTGAACATTGTTGTATACGTTCAACTACTAACGTCGACAGGCTCGCCGCTTTCGATTCATCTGACAAGTCTCGCCGCACCCGCGAAGAGGTCTTGAACTCGCTTGAAGCCTTCACCTACCGCGCCCGCGACTACCTCGAGGACGAATCCTTCATCGGTGTTTCCACCTCTGCCGTCCGTGACACACTCGAAAAGACCCTCAGCGCCGCGTCAGACTGGATGTACTCCGGTGGTGCCGATGCCGACGAGAAGACTCTCAGGAGCAAGCTCAAGGAACTCGAGAACATTGTCAACCCAGTGATGAAGCGCAAGGACGAGGCCTCCAAGCGCCCCGACGCCATCAAGGAGCTCAAAGACACCATCGCCCACATCAAGGAAGTCGAGCAACTAGTCGACAGCCAGATCAAGACGCAATCCGCCGAGAGCTCCAAGAGCAGCGAAGCCGTCTCCAAGGCCTCCGCTGACGCCTCCGCCTCACCTTCCACCGACCCCATGGACGACCTCGACGAAGAAGCCGACGCACCCGCCGCGCCTGAGATCACCGAAGTCCCTACCATCTACACCGAATCCGACCTCAAGACCGTTCAGGAGCACGCACAGAAAGCACAGGTCTGGCTCGACGACAACGAAGCTAAGCAAGCTGAACTTGGTCCCACGGACGATCCCGTCTTCACGGTCAAGGACATCTTGGCTGAGAAGAAGAAGCTAGACGATGTCGTCATGGACATGATGATGAAGAAGATGAAGCACTTCAAGCCGCCGAACCAATCTAGTTCAAAGACCAAGACCGCTAAGCCCAAGACGAAGAAGGCGAAGAAGACTAAGACGAAGAAATCTGCTAAGGCGGAGACGAAGGAGACTGATGTCCCCGCTGCAGATGGTGAGAGCGGTCCTAGCCAAGCGGAGTTGGAGGAGGCGTTGAAGAAAGCGGGGTTTAGTGCTGAGGGCATTAAGTTGCAGAATATGGGGAGTCAGACTGGTGAGGAGGGGGGTGAGGGGGATGTAACGGATGAGAAGGGCAGGTTGCTGAAGAAATTGGATATTGGAGAGGGGGCGAGTGAGGAGGATATTAAGGCTGCTATTGATAGGCTGGTGGCGCAGGGTGGACAGGGTAAGGATGGGAAGGGGAAGAGAGAGGAGGGGAGCGATGAGCTGTAGATAGTTATGACGATAGAGGAAGGGCAGGATGTGCTCGTATGATGGGGGAAGGAGATGGAAGTGTTAGACGATGAAGTGAGTAGATGATCAATGCGAATGAGATTTTGATAAGTTAGCGACACAAGTTTTTTTACGAACTGTTCGTCCACTCTCACATGTGTTAAGCTATCGGCTTCCATACCTTTCAGTTTTCCACCGAAGCATGGGTGGGTGGGGGAGGCGGAGGGGTGGAGGTGGAGGCTGGATCTCTTTGAATTCGTGTTCGTCTCATCATACTCCGATCACCCCTAACCTCGAACACTTACTCCAAGTATCAAGCTACTGGCTTCCACATCCTCCAGCCTTCCACTTCAGCGCCCGCGCTCTCAAGCATCAACTCCACGTCTATCTCAACCTCCCTAGATGCCTTGTCATCGTAGTCGTAGGTAGAGTGCGCACCTTGTAATAAGACGACTTTGAAGCCAGCGGCTAGAGCACCTCTGCATGTCGAAAGGACGCAGCATTCACTTTGTATGCCAAAGGCTACGATCGTGTCTATATTCGAGTTCTTTAGCTGGGAGGCAAGCTGAGGGTTGGAGGAGAATGTGTCACCTAAACGCATTTGTCAAGAGAAAACAAAAACACAATATGAATACTCACGGACATCCTTCTCTACCAGTCGTTCCCATTTATTATCGTCTCGTGGCTTGAACACCAACTCCCACGCCTTACTCCCTTTCACCAGCGGTCCTCTCTCAGCGAGCTCCTCATGCTGCACAAATACGATCTCTATATCCGGTACTCTTCCCTCTTCACACGCCGTATCGATGGCCCGACGCGCTCGCTGCAGGATGCTCGTCCCGGCTTCGCGGATACGATCCGCATGTGGTATTTCGGTCGCTGCGTTTTGCGCTAATTCGACTTGGATGTCGATTACGAAGAGGGCTGTTCGTGGCATGATGGGTATGGGGTTTGGGATGAGGAGGGGGGTTGTGATGTTGTGCATGTTGGGTGCATGGCGTATGAGTCATGGTCAGTATACTGGCGGAGGTAGAGCCGAGACATTCTGGAAGACTACGAGTGCGAAGGAAGTTGGGAGTGCGATTGAGTTGGTGAATCCATCTGTTGTCTTCTGAAGATCTAGGCAATACCAGACTGTACCTGTAGTGTCTCGTCATGGATGGCGCGGGAAGGCTGCTCATTGTTCTCGGTTGAGTAATGAGATGCTAGACGCCGCTTGTAGTTAAGTGAACATTTCTACTGTGAGTTCATGTCCATGTAGTATCTAGAAAGCTTGAAGCTCTCGAGTCCGCTGCCTGTACACTGGCCAGCTTGAGTAGATGGATTTGCCCTTATACGCGTGAAATAGGAGCCATGAAACGCAGAGTTCAAGCCAGCGAGGGGCAGAGTATGCCAGACTTGGAATAGTGAGTTGATGCAGCATGTGCTGGCTATCGTGGTTGTGGTAATTACGAGCGAAGAGGAATTAGTTCAAACAGGAGGGGTAGACTGTGCCCCGCCCCAGAGCCAGCACAGCGATACGTGGACATGAAGCGGCTGGTAAGAATCTTTCAAGGCTCGATGAAGGCGTCAACGATATATCGTGAGATTGGTAGCCCTTCTTTGTTTTGACGAGCTTGTACCACTTGCGATCGGCTTCCTACACCGACCTTTTTACAGAGACGTGAATCAGCGACTCAAAGATTTTCTGGTCATCGCCATGCGCGCGTACAACGGTCTGTCTCGTGGTGGGGTACTGGCTATCTTTGAGTAGTCATGTTACATGCTGCAGAATGAGGCTGTACTCGCATGAAGGAAGATCCAGATCCTATCAAAGGCGAGGGTTCTCAAAAAGGCATGCAGGCGGGAACACTACCGGGGCGTCACCCACTGAAATCCGAAGGCTCCATGCTGGAAGGGTTGGAAAGTATGGGGCGCGAGGCCGTTGGTGTACGTTTGGGGTTAGGCGCTAAAGTGTCGGTGTGTAAACAAACTCCAGCACGCTCTTGACACGTCGACAACGCACGCGCTAGCCATCCCAACCACCTCGCAGCCAACCCCCACCGGGTGCCGCCTCGGCTCACCATGAATTTCAGATGATGGGATCCCTGGCCTCCCGTTGTATTCATTCTGCAATTGTTCAACTTCACAAACTTTGAATTACACATTGCGAAGAATTGCTGCACCGCGACACACAAAGGTCGGATATGGCTACTACCATGCACCACCCGTCTCCCCAGCCGGGCCTTACCTCATTCGCCATCTACGAAGACCCACAGGATCGCGAACCCTTGTCGCCTTCGGACTTGTTCGACGGCAGTGACTCGTACCACTCCGAACGCTCGTTCCCCATGGCCCACGACGTTGTACATAGCATTGAGCTGGCACAGCAACAGGAGCCCGACGACGAGCCCCAGCCCTACCGCAGCTCCTACACCTCGCGCCCGGGGTCGCAGCAGCGCATGTCCTCGCACTACAGCTTCGTCTCGGCTATCCCCTCCGAGTCGTCGATAGCTTCGAAACCCATCCTGCCCGCTAACGAGGCCGGTGCACGAGCACGCAAAGAACGTCCGCGCTTCCGGAATACTGAGTCTGTCCGCGCCATGCAGATGTCGTCGCCGCCGCCCACACTCGCACACCAGACCTCCCAAGAGCGACTCAAAGGGTCCTTCAAGCTGGCTACACCTAGCAGGAGCAGCAGATCAGAGCACGACATGTCGAGACAGTCTACCGGCTCACGGAGAAGGAGCATACGGGAGCCTCATAGTCCGAGACCGACCCCGACACCGCAGCAGGCGCCGCTGGTCCTGTTACATGTTACCATTCTGCCCATGCAGGTACCGTACTCGCACGACATCATGGCCAGGATCATGCCTGATTGGCTGGTGGAGAACTACAAGCTGCTGGAGGAGAAGCTGCAGGACATCATCCTGATGCGACGCGGGCTTCTCATCCCGCACCCCAGGGACGAGTACGACCTGCTCGAGGAACGCATACTGGAAAGCTTGGAGCTCAGAACACCCCGCCTGCTCCCGTGCGGCCACTTTGTCCCACCCGAGGACGAGGACGAGCGGGACGACGAGGACGATGTCGCGAGCGTCGGCGACGAGAACACCGGACGGGGCAGTCGCATGAGTGGAGGCACACTGACGGAAGGAAGCAACACCTCCCACAACGGCGACCACAGCATGTGCATAGACTGCCACCGCGAACTCAAGAAGCCCGGCAAAGGCATCGGTGCCGGCACACGGAAATGGGACATCAAGATCTACGCTGCCAACGGTCTGATGCGCGCCGCCGCCTGGCAAGCCTGCTGGAACGACATGGAAAGATGCGACGTCGAGATCCACCCCTGGATCCCCGAGGAGGTCCGCAAGACGCTCGAGCGCCGCGCCCAGGAGGAGCAAGAAGCCGACAAGCGCAAGGCACAATACACCGTCGAACTGCAACGCCAAATCCAAGAAGCCGCCGTCAAGACCAAGATCCTAGAAGAGGAAGCCAACGAGGCGAAGCGCAAGGAGGAAGCCGAACTACAAAAGAGCTTCGAAGAGGCCGCCGCCGCTCTACAAAGAAGCATCGAAGAGAAAGCAGCTGAGAGGAAGAAGTTCGAAGAGGACCTCCAGCTCAAGCTCAACGAAGCGAAGGAGGCTGTTCGTCTTGAACTCGAAGCCAAAGCCCTTGCTGAATCCGACGCCGTCGCCCAGCGTCTCCGTGCGCTGGAAACTGCTATCAAGGAACAGGAGAGCGCTGAAGCTGCCACACGTCTCTCGGCAGCTCAAATACCGCTCAGCACGCTGCTGAAGAACTACATCATCCTTCTCCTCAGCGACAAGCGCAACTCTATTATCTTGTTACTGGCTGTTGCGGTTGCGTACATGGCGATGAACATGCGTGCTGCTCAGCAAGCACCCGCGTCGGCACAGATGCTAGAGCTCCCCACCGAGGTTGCGGCGCCCATGATGAATGCCGTCACGGCTACTATGACTGCGACGAGTTACTCTACATTTACGGTTACGGAGTTTGCCACTGCTACTGCCGTGCCGGTACTTGCTGTTGCGGATCCGGAGATCGAGCCTGCGGCTGAGGAGGTTGCGGCTGAGGTTGAGTTCGAGGCTGTCGAGGAGAAGGCGGAAGAAGAGACATCTACCAGCCCTGCTGTAGACCTCGACATCTTCGACGTCGTTGCGGAGCAGTCTACTTCTCTCGCTGCTGAGGTTGAGGCGAAGACGGACGTCGTTGTTGCCGCTTCCAACCAGACACCCGCTGAAGCCTCGTTCTGCGCTTCAGAAGTCGAACACGTCTTCGAGGCTCCGCTTGCGTACTGCGCGGCTTCTGCTTAGACGCTCTCCCGCCTTCCTCCTCCTCCTCCTCCTCCTCCTCCTCCTCCTCCATCGCCTTCTCCCCACCCCCATATTCCCTCACTTTTTCTTTGTTATATTTCTCCTTTTCTCTTTTCTATGAAGCTTATAACGCATACCCCTCACGGCCTCTAGCATCTACCTATCTATATGCATATACATGTGCATTTGCGTTTGCATTTGCATACATACACCACACGATATACTATACCATGTCTTTTCATGTTTCATGTTCATGACGTAATGTAGCGGTTTCGATTGAAGATATCCCTTTTCTTTCGCTTTTTTTTTCTTTATGGGTTGGGTTTGGTTTGGGCATAGCGGGTTGTTGGTTGGGGATTTGGATTGTGTGGCTGTGGAGAGTATATACCAATACCGAAGAATGAAGATTGAAGATATGATATGATATTGTTATGTTCCCATGTGTGGCTTGGTCTCAGTGTGTTTGAGTTGCTGTGAGAGACAGAATTGGCAGTATAAACGTGGAGGGTAGCAGGCATATCAGTGTAGTGTGGAGGTATCCGACGTAGCTTTCAAGTTCATTCGACACGGGAAGGAGCATAGTAGTCCGATGGACTAGTCTTTGTGATTATCAGGTTTGTATCCAATAGAGCTCTGCAAGTATCATCATGCACAAGCACCCATCTTTCAGTCTCCTCGATCCCAAACGAACCCCATCCACCCACGCACAATCCCTCCCCCGCCTACTCCTCAGGCTGAATACCCTTCTTCTTCAACTCCTCCCTCTTCCTGCTCGCCCTACTCTTCGCATCCTCAACCCACGCCTCATAAGCCCCCTCCCCCTCATTTAACTTCGCCCTCGTAACCGCCTTCAGCAGTTCCCCCACAAACCCCACAAAGTTATGCCTCCTCAAACTATTCTCATACAGCCACCTTGCGCGCTTATCCTCCTGCTCCTCGAGCTCGTCCTCGTCGCCTATCTCCCTGGCCCGGATGCGCAGGTCGCGACAGCAGGCCATGAGGTTGAACCGGATTTCCGAGGCGGGGTAGCGCGCGATGCGGCGTTGGAGGACGGGGATGATTTTGGCGGGGAAGTCGGTGGGCGTGCAGGGGCCGTGGAGGATAGGCGCGGGTTGGAGGCCGTCGAGTTCGTAGAGTTTGTTGTTTATGGATGTGTAGCTGGGGCGTGTGGGTTAGTGATTTGTGGGGAGTGGAGAGGCTCATGGGTAGGTGAGTAAGAGGACTTACGCGATGAAGTGGAAGACATCGTCGTCTTCAGTAGCCGTCCTTTGCGTCTCGTCGACGAAAGGCGAGGAGCGCGCGAAGGAGTTGTGGGTTTCGCGGATGAGGTCCGAGTTTGATAGTGTTTCTCCTCGTAGCTATCCTCCTTATCAGCCACTCATATCCAAAGTATACAGTCCCTGCCTTCACGTACCTCTGGCGGAAAGTCCCCTGCAAATTCCTTGAACTCTTTCAGTTCCTTGCCGATATCCACCTCCTCTTCCCTATTCAGCAGCAGCGAAACGATCGCTTGTGTACCACACGCATTCTGTATCGTTTGCGCAGGGAAGAAGAGCTTATTCGCCGCCTCGTAGTCGTACGTCCCGTCTTTCGGTACGTCGCTGGGTTTCTCGCCGGTCGGGTACTTGAAGAGGAAGATTACACCATACAGTGTACCGAGGGCTTGTAAGTCTGAGGGCTCGAGTGTGGTGAGTTCTTCGAACTCTACGCCCTTGACACCGAGCTTCTCGATGAGGTATGTGAAGACACCCTGTGGGTTGTTAGTATGCGGTTTTCTTGAGGTGTAGTGGTTATGAGCTTACAGCATCGGACTCTATGGTGTTCCAACCTCCCGACATGTTTGTGTAGAGAGAGGGCGGTGTGAGTTTACGAGTGTGTTGTCGCTGCGAGCGGACCTACGCCATCGACAGGCGCCGCCGGAACAACTCCTCGGCCCGCGCTTCGGAACGTTCCGATGCCCCACTATGAATTGGAAGTGAACAAGGTCGTCCCATGTGCTGACCCCTCTACCGGGTATCGCTCCTGTTCATGGAATCATCTTCTCGTGTCACAGAACAAAAGGTCTTGGCGAATATGTATGGGTACAGTCACAGCATGGAGTCAACGCATCAGCCCTGTAATGACGTCCACTGTTCCAAAGTTCCAAAGTTTCCAAGGTTCCAAGGTTCACTTCATTCCAACCGCACCCAAGGTCATGGCTAGAGCAAGGCCGACGGGGCTCCTTACTCAGTACTTCTAGTCATCTCAGATCTCCTTGCAAAATCACCATTTTAAAACGGGTAGATCTGCTGTGTACCGGCAGTTAGATCGGGAGCACGCTCCTCAGCTTGCTTCACGATAAGCTCACACTCTCAATTTCTTTCTCCTTTCAGAACTAGACCTCTATTCCATTCACGTCGCTCATCACTTTCCCTTCCGTCCTATTGGCAGCTATGACTACTAGTATGCATCGTGAGTGGGCCTGTAGTGTACCCTGGTCTGCTTCCCGAGCACGCAATGGAGTTGGAACTTCGCGCAATGGGCGTGGGTCCCGACTACCCAGATACGTCAGAGTGTAAACAAATCCAAAGATATATCAATACTGTACAGTCTAGAGAACTCAACTCTCACCCACAACCATGATTCCAAGTCAAATCCTACTGTTGCTTTCCTTCGGTGTAGCCGCTGTTACAGGGCGCTCTTCCAAACCCAACTTCATCTTCATCATTACCGACGATCAAGACTTGCACTTAAACTCGCTCGACTACCAACCTGCTGTGAAGAAGCATTTCGCTCAGGAAGGTACTTGGTTCAAGAAGCATTTCTGCACCGTAGCACTGTGTTGCCCATCGCGAGTGTCGCTCTTGACCGGGAAAGCTGCACACAACACGAACGTCACAGACGTCTCAGCTCCTTACGGTACGTCGGATATAAAGGGAATAAGCTAGAATCTTGTACTGACTAGCAGCAGGCGGATATCCTAGGTTCATCGAGGAAGGTTTCAATGATGCTTATCTTCCTGTATGGCTTCAGGAGGCGGGCTACAACACATATTATACTGGGAAGCTGATGAATGGACACTCTACCACTACATATGACACACCACGAGCCAGTGGCTGGAATGGTTCTGACTGTAAGTTCAGCGCCATTACAGCTCCACTTTCTAATCACTGACATCTACAGTCTTGATTGACCCCGGAACATACGTCTTCTACAACTCAACCATGACCCATAACCACGACGCGTACAGAAACCTTCCAGGAGAATACTCAACCGACCTCGTAGCCAACGCTGCAGTCACTTTCCTAGAAGAAGCCATCGCAGCACCCGACCGACCTTTCTTCATCGGGGTCGCACCCATAGCCCCTCACTCAGAAACGATCACTAACCCACGCCCTACAAAGTTCAACCTACCCGTCCCTGCGAAGCGACACGAGCATCTCTTCCCCGACGTAAAAGTACCCCGAACACCAAACTTCAACCCCTCCAAAGTACGTCATCTCCTCTTCCCCAACACATTCCCCATCTCACGCTCGTGCCCCGTCAGCCAGGCACAGCATCCTACTTCTCCACACTCCGCCCGCTCAACGCCTCAGAAATTGAGTACAACGACGCCTGGTACCGCGCGCGTCTCCAAACCCTGCAATCCGTCGACGACCTCATCGACTCCATCTTCAACCGCTTGGACCAAAACCCCGAGGTCCTAGAAAACACCTACCTAATCTACACAACCGACAACGGCTTCCATATTAGCCAACACCGGCTCCCACCCGGCAAATCCTGCGGCATAGAAGAAGACATAAACATCCCCTTCTTCATCCGCGGCCCGGGTATTGCTAAAGGGGCTGTTCAAAATATTCCTTCTAGCCATACGGATATCGTACCTACGCTGTTTCATCTTGCTGGCATACCACCCCGGGAGGACTTTGACGGGGAGCCTATTCCTGTTAAGGGAGAGATGCAGGGAAGGGGTGGGAAGAGCGAACATGTTAATATTGAGTTTTGGGGCAATTATTTGGTCGAGGGGAATACGTTCTACGGACAGAGTGCATGGGTAAACAACACGTATAAGACGGTGAGGGTGGTGGGGGAGGAGTACGATCTTGCGTATACGGTTTGGTGTACGAATGATCACGAACTTTATGATATGACGGTTCGTCTCTTTTTCTTTGCCCTCTTTCCCTCTCTTTACTTTAAAGGCCTGAGGAACTGGGTACTAACGAACCCCATACAGACCGACCCCTATCAACTCACCAACCTCCACTCCTCAACCACAACCAACGCCACCACCTGCATAAACAGCTGGCCCATCCACAAACTCACCGCTCGGCTCGATGCCCTCTTACTCACGCTCAAGCGCTGCAAAGGCCGCGTGTGCACGAGGCCGTGGGAAAAATTGCATCCAGAGGGCAATGTGCGCAATCTGAAAGATGCTATGCAGGAAAGGTACGATGTGTTTTACCTGGAGAAGCAGAAGAAGGTTAGCTTTGACGAATGTGCGTTGGGTCAGATATTGGAAGTTGAGGGGCCGCTGGAGCCGGTGGCTTGGAGGGAGGAGTGGGATGAGTGGAGTTGGGCTACGTAGATGATGAGACGGGGTGGGTTGGACTGGATGTTTGTAGTGAAGTGATGGGGAGAAGAGAGAGTATGGTACGTTATACTCAGATTTCTCTCCACGCCCGAGACTACCGAGAATAGAAAAATTTGAAAAGAGTAACAACGCCCAAGTCCCAACTCGACCCCAAAAACGAGACATGCCTCCCTTCTTCGAAGAATCCAGTTTCCACCACATCCGATGACATAACCACTCGTACATTCATTCATCCATCCACAGCACAAGCCGCACAAACCACACACCCACCTATCCACCCATCCACCCCAAGCGCCCGGTACCGCCGATGAACATTGACAGCTGAAACTCCCCTCTCCCCCACCTTCACCAGCATGTAACATCGCCCACGATCTGAAACACAACACCGGTATCAGGCCACCCAATATTCATGGAGAAATCCATAGTCTACCGTATCTCCCATGCTGAACGACCATGCATTCACGACTCGCCGAAAAGCGAAAAGCGAAGGGCAAGTGACTGACTCAGCATACCGGTCGTCGATCACGTGTGGGGTCACTTAATCTATTGAAAGAACCTTGGAATAGCGAACAAGGCTATCGGCCTGATTACCTGCCAGATGAGTGATATTACGGCCGAGGCCGAATGTTTCAGGTTACGGAGGACATCATTGCTCGCCGCCGTCGCAGCATGACGATTGGCAATGTTTGGTTATGTATCAGGTTACGATATCGTTTAGTTGTGGCATAATTAGGTACTTGGTTGGTTGGCTGTGAGTATTGGTATTGGCATTGCCTTTAGGCTTATTGGGGTGAATGATAGTTGTAGCCTCTATGTAAGGTTCAAGCGGGTCGGCTTGCATGGGCGGATTTTGTAGTGGACGATATATTGGCAATATGGAGGATTGGAGGGGTGAGTATGATGGGGTGGTGGTGTGTGTCTGGGATGTGAGATCGACGATACACAGTAGATATGCGTGAATATCAAAATGTTGATTTTGCAATGGTAGAGGTGCATGTTCGGCTGGTGGATCAAAACCCCCCAAAGCGTTCGGAGGAATTGACAGCTCACATCACAGTGCACGCAATGGCCCGTGAGGGCGGAGAAGAGGAAGTGTCTGTGTGATTTCTCTGTGTCGCCTGCCACACTTGCCGGTAGAAATCGCTTCCGCGCCAATGGTAGCTCAGGGTGCGACGCTTTTTATAGCTCTGGGCCGACGGGTGGAGAGGGATGCTTTGCATGGTCGTGCAGGTGCAAAGTGTGGCTTGCAGATGGCTGGGGAATGTGTATTGCGCGCGCGCTGAAAACTCGACATTTTGTGTTAAAACTTGCATTTGGTAACCGGCTTGGCTTCGATGTCTTGTTGTCGTGTGACTGACGGTGTGGTGTCGCGACATGAAGCCTCTTCAGACGTCATAAAATGTATGTATAGTAACGTTCGGATGTTTTTTGTGGTTGCTGAATCGCTGAGTCGGTTAGTAGTGCGCTGGCTTAGTGTACGCTGGAGCTATGCTGAGGCTACGCTGCAAAGGCGAGTAGGCCATCGGAAAAGACCGATGCGACGATGGACGAAAGATGCGAGTGGAGAGGTGTCTTGTAACCCTAGTCGCAGAACCCCAGAGAAAACATGGCTGCATGGGTAGCCCTAGATGCATGGTCGGCTGCAAACTCCCAGGGTAAAAGGACCTTAATCCTAAGAATAGCCACCACGGATCTATGACAACCAAACACCAGCTCGACGTAGGCGTGTGGCTGAAGGAAGACTAGCCTGCGAATACACATCTTGTCGCATGAACCTGCTTTCGCGCTTTCCGCTATGTCATCTAGTAGAGTTTTAGCCTCGGTGGTTGCAAGAGGTAGCTGGTAGGTAGGCGACGGGTGCCGCCGCGATGCCACTGGTTCCTGGTTTAGAACTCGTATCTCGTGGCAGCTACTTGTGCTCCACCACGCGACGGTCGCGACGGTATCGCGCGTATAGACAACGTCATAGGTACAGCCCTATGAGGATGTCGGCGACGAAATCGAGATATCGTCACAGCAGCTGCGATGTGTGGATGCAGGCTGTTGTGTCAGGCGCCCACGAGCAGGGTCGCGTAATTACTCAGTTACTGTATAGGCCCCGCCAGCAAGCATTCTCCGCTGCATGAGATATTGCCAGACGCGGGGACATTGAATTACCCAGTACCTAGGTATTGCGATGGTGTCGCCCACTGCCTAGGCGAAGTCACAGGCGAAGTCACCCACGAGTGGGAGCGGAAGTCACGCTTATTCATCGCGCGGCGCCCTTCCGTCGATAGCGGAGACAGGAATAGAGCGAGGTCCGCCGCCACTGCTCGGCGCAACTGGATGCGAAGGAGCGGTATGAGCATAGCGGCGTGAGGATGGGCCAGCGTAGTATCGATGGAAAATCAGCGCGATGAGAGTGTAGACCCTTTTTGCGTGCGGTCTGGTGACAGGTGACGCACGGAGGGCTATTTTTGACCGCGAGATATTGAGGGCCCCGGCTTCCGCAGTGTTTAGCGATCGCTGGTGGCATCGCATCAGCAACGTCAGTCTGATTCGCGCACCTCCATCAAAGCGAAATGCGAAGCTGGACGCTCACTGAGAACATCGGGCACCCATGTCGCCCGTGGTCGCCCGTCACGCGTGGGCGCTGCCACCTCACTCAGGGCTCTGGAGCTGTCTGAAAAATTAGCAGCGCGCGCGCCCCGAAGCTGACCCGGCGAGCAAGCATGGCGGCCTCCTTCACCCACTATTCCGCAGGCGGCTTCCAACTACCCGTTACAGCATGGCCAGCGAGCTATCCAGGTGCTACTGGTCGATCGTTCTCCACGCACGGCCCGCGCAGCTGTTGGCGTTTCCTCGGTCGTCGGACCTGAATGGCCGTTTTTCACGCCTCTTGCGCTCTGAGCCCGAGCCCCAGCTGGAGCGGCTCATGCACCTGCACGCTCAAACGTCTCCGTCCCAAGCGGATTGACAGGGGCTTTGACCAGAGGGCCACCAAAGGCTGCTTTCTGCGACATGGCCGTCGGCGAACTAGCACCTTCACACTGCACCCTAGCCCTGGGCTCAACCCTCGCCCGACAGGGGCCGCTTCATTCATCCAAACACGTCCGTCGTCTTTGAAGGACGCAGCGCTGCATGTCTGAAAGCGCCCTGCCGACTGCGAGGGTTCACGTCTCGCTGGAACCTTAATCCCCACGGGAGTTACACCGGGGCTATGTCATACGAGCAGGAGCCAGCCGGTGCCATCTGGCAATCAGTCACTCCATCGTCTGTAGCTCCCGCAAGCTTCTCTGCCCTCCCTGCTAGCCTCTCCCGTCTCGCGGGCTGCCACCCAAGTCCCTCTTCCGCCGCTCGTGGCGTCACTGCAATTTGTGTGGACGCTACCTCAGGCTAACCCTACCTGGCCCCGTTTCTCGACGTTTGTCGTCTTTGGGACCGAGCACAAGTCACCCTGCGCTTTTGCCCGCATACCACCCAAGTCCCTTCTTCAGCCTGGCGAGCCTCTAGTCCATAGCCTTGTCCTCATCCTGCATGGTCATTGTGCAGGGGGTAGGTTGCAGACGAGCTTGACCACTTCCGCTGTCACGTCGTCCTGTCGTACCCTCTTAGCCTGTCCGCCGGAGGTATTGCTGGCCTTGCGTCAATATCTCTCCAGCCCTAGAGCTATCTAAGCTCATCCCATCTGCACTCTGCACTATATATCACCAGAACGCCCACGAACAGCCTCCAAATCACCACCCTGTCCAATTTAGTCACCGGTTTCGACCCCATTACCCTCGCTTTATCAACCGCTCGCCAGATCTACCGCCCGCATATACACAGCCCCTCGTCTATCCCACCTTCCCGTCCATCTCGCATACCACACAACAAGAGAACACTGCCTGCGACTGATCCTGTGCCCTGACGTGCTACCACGACCACGCCGTACGGTCCACTTCCCACTCTCGCTAAACTACTTCATCTTCCTCTTGAAAAATGGCTGGTCCCGGTGGAGGCCCTTCAAGGCGGAGCCATACCAAGTCCCGAAAGGGCTGCAAGACGTGCAAGAGGCGGCATATTCGCTGTGATGAAACATTCCCGCAATGGTAAGCACCAACATCTCTTTGTCCACGACTCATGTACTAACATTTCCCAGCCGCAACTGCACCAAGCACCAGGTTCGCTGCGACTACATGGACAGTCCAACTGCCATGATGCCAGAGTCTCCCCAGTCTCCTCAGCAGCCCAACCTGCTCTGGACGCCCGAGATCGAGGCCACTATCGAACTCTGGAGACAGACGGGAGAGTTCCCTTTCCCCGAGCTCCGAGTATACCCACAGCCGCAATGGCGCGCCTTGACGACGGTTGACCTCCGTCTGGTGCACCATCTTGCCTCTATCTCGAATGAGATGTTCAGAAATAGGACTTCGAAATCGACCCTCTGGACCGACATGATGCCCAAGTACGCACCTACCACCCCAAGCGACTACGCCCAAAAGCAACACTAACGTTTCTAGATTCTTGAGCATAGCCGCAACCCATCCATTCGTTATGCACAGCATCCTCGCCTTCTCTGCCTCGCACTTGGCCTGGATCTCTCAATCAACCGAAACCCGAAACCTCGCATTCCATCACGCAAGTCTTGCTCTCAAGGGCTTGCACGACGGCATCACCAACTTTACCAAGCACAACTCAGATGCTGTACTTGCGGCGTCTCTCCTGCTTGCATGGCAGGCGACAGACTGGTAAGGACTACCCGAGTATATTGGGGTAATCAAAACTGACGCAGTCATTTAGGCGAGGCTGGGCTTCTCTAGTCACAGGCACGAAGACTGTAATTCAATCCATGCAACCCTGGAGACATGAGTCTCTGTTCGCCGACTACATCGCAGAGCACACGCCTATGCCAAACCGACACTTTATGAACCCGATCAGTACCCCGATATCGCCAGAAGCACGAAGAGAGCACATGAACGCCCTGGTCGATATCCACGCCTCCCTCCAACGACTACAGCCCTACCTCACTCGCA